CGGGAGCTGAACACACTGAACTGCTCCTGCATACTGAAGTGCGCTGGCTGTCTCGTGGAAAAGTACTGAACAGGCTATTTGAGTTGCGAGCTGAAGTGCACACCTTCCTGACAAAGCACGGATCTCCCCATGCCACCTTGTTTGAGAACACGGACTGGCTTGCAAAGCTTTGCTATCTGGCAGATATATTCAGGAAACTGAATGAACTGAATATGTCCTTGCAGGGCAAGGGCACCAGCATCCTGAACCTGTATGACAAGGTGGGTGGTTTCCTGAAGAAAGCAGAGATGTGGAAAAGGGCATGTGATCAGGAGGATTTCACCTGCTTTCCTCAGCTGGATGCTTTTCTCTGCAGTGAGGATGTGGCGACAGCTCCGGTGAAGTTAGTCATAGTGGGACATTTGGCTAACTTGATCAGTGGTTTTCACTCCTACTTTGCTGACATGGATGAGAAATCTGCACAGCTGGATTGGGTGAGAAATCCATTTCTCTTGTCTGAAGCAAGCTTCCTGTCAGTCATCAGGAAAACTAATGGAAGTAGCATCTGACCGTGGCCTGCAGATGAAGTTTGGTGCATCCACGCTCACACAGTTTTGGGTGTGTGTGAGGCAGGAGCACCCTGAGCTGGGACAGAAAGCTTTGGAGCAGCTGCTACCCTTTGCATCCACATATTTATGTGAGGCCTCCTTCTCTGCAGTGATGCTGATCAAAACAAAGCAAAGAAACAGACTGTGCCTGGAGAAGAGCTTGATCACTGCAGTTGCCTCCCTGCCAATAAGAATGACAAAGATCCTCAGTGAGGTGCAAGCCCATATTTCTCATTAAAATGTATTGAGTAATTTTTTTCCTGTTCATAAATCACTGCCTGTTACATACTGTTCAAATCAAATCAAATGTTCAATGCAAAGTGATTAAGGTGCAATCTTCTTTTTTTTTATCCTAAAAGATGTAACCTTTATTTTTTTGTAAGCAAATCTTTATTTAAGTTAATTTAAAATAATGAGATAGTATCGCATTATAATGAGATACTATCTCATTATAATGAGATACCTTGAGCTGGCCCTATAGCTTGAGATATGCTCAACTTGATAGAAAGAAATGGATATTGATAATATCATTGAGCAATACTTCAGAAGGGGTTTTACTAATCTTGAAATCTTGCGAGTTTTGGAAGAAACCCATAATGTTAAAGTAAGTCTCAGGACGCTGGAGAGAAGACTGCAAAAGAAGCGCCTTTGGCGTAGAAAAAATAAGACAGATGTTGCAGAAGTGGCCTCTTTTATTGAGCAACAACTACATGGATCTGGGAGACAGCACGGCTACAGGTGGATGCACCAGAAATGTTGGATGGCTGGCATAGTCACAGACAGGGAAACGGTACGTCTTTTGATGCGCCTATTGGATCCCAATGGGGTTGACCAGCGTGCACAAAATCGCTTGAGACGACGCTTATATTTTAGTCGGGGACCAAACTATGTCTGGCACATCGATGGCTATGACAAATTAAAGCCTTATGGGATATGTGTTAATGGATGCATAGATGGCTTTTCGAGGAAAATGATCTGGCTAGAAGCTTATAAGACTAATAGTGACCCTCACATTATTGCTGGCTATTTCATTGATGCTGTGATGGAGTATAATGGATTTCCACAAAAGATACGGATGGATCATGGCACAGAGAACACTTATGTGGCAGCGATGCAAAGATTTCTGCACAACAGTGAGAATGAAAATGGTTTTGAATCTGTCATTCTCGGTCCGAGTACAGGAAATCAAAGGATAGAGCGATGGTGGTGCACTTCAAGAAGTGAATGTGCCCAGTTTTGGATGGACCATTTTGACCAGCTTAAAGCCGATGGCTATTTTGTTGACAGCTTTCTGGACAAGTCACTGATCCAGTTTTGCTTCCTACAAACAATACAGGTACTGTTCTGTCAAGCTGCCTGGTAGCCCCTCCTCCTTTCCCATCAGCAGGGAGGCACCAGGTGAAACAAATCTCCCAGCAATTTGGGCGTGCCAGGTAAATCTGAAGGAAAAGACCAAGCCCTGCTCTGTGTGGAGACAGCAAAAATTCAGCTCAGAGAGTGTGATTGTGCAAACAAGTCCTTCTACTCAAAAACTCTAAAAGACAACCGGTAAGCGCCTAAATGCCCTTGACTCTGGCTGGACTTTAACACCAGACAACTTTATTAAGATAAAGAATGGACTGTGGTTGGACTGCTGTGGGTTATTTGTGGGAAAAATCTTTGATGGTATGTGACAAATTGATTTACAGAAATGATAGTTTAATAGCTGCATTTGTGTAGAAGCACATTTTGGTTTCTTAATTTGTATAAGATAACTTTAAAAGCTTTCAAACCGTAGAAGTTAAAAACTATAATTTGTTAAAATGTTTACTTTAGCTAAAAACATAATATTTAATCTATTATTTGGCTAAATTTTTTGGCTAAAATACAAGATTAACTTGTTAAAAAGTATAAATACATGAGTTAAAAATATCAGTTGATTTGTTTGGGTGTAATCTTAAGATAAAAACATGTATGACGAAAATTAATTTAATGTTTATCATAAGATCTTTTGGTTAAAAAATACTGTTAAAAACAAAGTAAAAATATTGGTTAAAAACATTGTTTAAAAACATGTAAAAATAATTTGGCTATAAAAAATATTGATTTAATTTATTTGGCTTAAATCTATCACCTTAATTTGACTAAAAAATAAGTTACTTTAAATTGATGTTTAAAAGATATATATTTTGTTAGAACATGGTGGGAAATATTTTATTTAAAAAGGGCTGAAATGCTTAAATGTGTGATTTTGGATAATCTGAAATGATTGATTTTGTGTTACCTTCTTTTTTTGAGGTTTTTCTCCTGCCGACCGCCAACTTTCAATGAATAAAAATAATGAAAGACAATGAAATGGCTGTTCACTGAGTGAAATCCAGTTGGGATAAGGAGGACTATCCCTTTCAAGTGGGGAACTGCACAAAACAATCACAAATACTTGACGGGTACTATAAATGTACTTCTTGCTTTCTGCACAAAATTTGAAATAAGTTACAAATAATACAAAAGCACTTTTTTTCCTAACAACTATTTTCTTTTTTTTTTTCCCTTTTTTTTCCCCCTTTTTTTTTTAATCAAACAGGTGGAGCTGGATCAAGTTGTCCATGCATGGAATGACCATCGTATACGATCTACAAATAATTCTCG